GCCTCCCGCCGGCGCATGCTCAGCATACTCTTACGGGTTCATTCGCCTCTCACAACCTTTAGAGACGGAACCGTCTTTGCAAGCGGAGAAACAGGCCAGAGAACATAACCTGTAGCTGTGGTTACAGACCCCACGGTGGGCCCGCAGCTAATGTGTGGGTTGACAGCTGTGAGCGCAGGGCTCAGGCTGCCACCAAGGGTCTGCGGCCAGCCAGCTTGCTGAGGTTCAGAAGCAGACCCCCCACTGTAGCTGGCTTCTTACCTACTGGCTACCCCGTCCCTGCCCCCTGCCCCGACGGTCGAATGGAGCACCCAGGGAAACAGGCCAGGCCTCCCATTACGGCCTATTCCTGGTTCCGCTCGCTCCTCTCCCCCTCCCCCGCGGTGGCCCTGCCCCTGCCAGCCGGTGCCCTTTCTGGAGCCTGCTACAGGTGACAGTGGCCCTGGTGGTGTGCACAGGTACACCCTGACAGCCGGGCAGCTGGGGTGCGGGGCTGTGAGGGCCGCCATGGCGCAGGTGTGTCCAACTCCCTGAGAGAGCTAAGTCCAGTCCATGTGGATGGCCATGCCCCTGCTCATGGCCAGCAGCCCTGGGCGTGTGCAGAGCTGCGGGCCCCCCTTGCTGCGGCATGTCTCCCCCTTCCTAGCATCTCTTTGGTGGCATGCCCGCCCCCCCAGTAACCCCATGCTGGCTGGTGTGGCTGGGTCCTGGGGCTTGGCCCCGGGTCCCATCCTGCATGTCATTCCTTGCAGGCCCTCATGCTCACCTGGTTTCAGCTCTGTGCCCTGGGCCTGTCGCAGACTGGTTGGACATCCCACCCCAAGACCAGGGAGGCCAATCTGGTGCCCCCTCTCCTCTCCCGTGCTCCCAGCTCAGCACCAACACTGCTGTCCACCGGAGGCGGGCCAGAGTGTGTGCGTCTCCCACGGAGAGACCAGCGGGAGTGGGAGCACACACCTCAGTCCTCTCCTCCGGCTCCGTCCCGCCAGGATGTTGGGCATGCACACACACCCGGCGTGTTCTTCCAGCTGCTGGGGCTTGTATGTGAACCATGTTGGCCACATGGGATCCAGCCCCTTCTGCCCTTGAGAAGGGCTGCGGTCTCTATCCTGGAGTGCTCGTCCTGGACGGTAACTCTCCACCTGACTCACTAACCCTGACAGCACTGCCTTTGCAGATGTGCAGCTCCCTAGTTCCAGCTATCTGTCACAGAGGAAGTAACCCAGTGTCAGTCCACACGACACATGGGAAATTAGCTTGGAAGCCGCTCCCACGAACGGCCAGGGTCCTGAGCCACACCCACACTCTGCGGTCTTACCTGCGTGCCGGTGACGCGGCCAGCTGGGTTCCTCTGGCCACTGCATCCCGCTGCTCGCCCTGGAGGCCAAGGTTCGCTCAGGCTCGCCCAACCCTGCGCTGACAGCCCAGGGGGTCCTCTCAGCCACTCCTGCTGCTGGTTCACATTTCCTTTGTCTTTAAAAACATGCTTTGGGGGCCGGCAGGTGGCATGGTGGTTAAGGGTGCTGGACTCCCACATGGCCTACCATGGTTCGAGTCCCAACCTGTTGGTTGCTTTCTCTCGCTCTCTCACTCTGTCCCTCTCTGGTCAAATAAAAATAAATAAATGAATGAATGAATACAGTTAAATAAAATAATTCTTTTTTCTTTTTTTTTATTTCATTTTCTTTTATACATTCAATAAAAAATAAAAAAAGCTTTGGGGCCTGGTGGTTAAAGGAGCTGGAGACCACGTGGCTGACTGCTGTTGGAACCCTGGGCCTGGAGGCTTGAAGAACATGCCAAACACATGGGCACGCAAGCCGAAAACCCTGGAGAGAGAAGAGACAGAGGAGAGGGAATGACAACGTCCACGCCCTACCTGGGGCGCTTTCTCCAGCTCCTTCTCTTTCTCTGGAGAGCGCATGTGCCCTCTGGCAAATTTAAAAAACGTCTAAATTTAGACCTCCGGTTACAGAAAACAGTGAAGCCTGTATAGGCAGTGCTCAGGCAGCTCTGATCTGGTCGGCAGCAAATCTGCCATGGCCAGGGCACATTGGCCCCGTCGAAGGTCTGGGCTGTGTCGTTACCAACAGGAGGCACCTCAGCCCCACCTCGGCAGTTTCCCCAGGCCCTTCGCTGTCCCTGGCCCACCCCGTGTCCCACGGGTCACCTCGTCGTGTTCTGGGCGTACCCTGGGCCGTGTCGACGTCTCAGACGTCCCGCTGGTCGCTCAGTGGGCCCTGGCGGCTCTTCCTCGTGGCTAGCTGGGCTAGGTGGACAGCGGTCGAGTGCCTGTCCTGCCCAGCTCGGGAGGTCCTTGCTTCAGTGGCCCTCGACCTGGCAGAGGTTACCCGTCGGGTTGCCACCTGCCCCGGCTCTGTGGGAGGTGTCTGAGAGCCTGCTCAGGAAGGGGCTCCATGCCTCCCTGGCTGTGGTATGAGCTGGGCGTCACCTGTGTGCGCCTGCTCAGTCACTGCACGGGGCAGTGTCCTAGGGACGTGGTCACGCTTCGCTATTCCATGGCTCCGTGGCTCCCACTGTCCCCGTCCTGGCGGCAGGGAGCCCTGTGGGCTGGCCCCGACCCTGTGGCCACCAGCACCGTGGGGTTTTCTGCTCGTGGTCTGGGCCTTCATGTCTTCTTGGCACTGGACGCTCCAGACCCAGCCCGGACACCTCCCCTCCCCGCCTCTACGCACTATGTCCCTTGACGAATAGAGTTCAAAGGGCACGGTCTGGCTGCAGGTTGGCTGGTCTGGCCCCGCAGCCAGCTGAGGGTGTGCGTGGGCACACCATGGTGCTCCGCATGTCAAGCTCCCGGCCATGAGCTGGCGCTCCCACCGGACCCCACGAGTCCTCCAGCCTTGGCCTGTCCGCAGCCCTGGGAGTCCGGGAGTCGCTCTGGCCCGCCCTCCCTCTCTGCTCCCTCCTCCGTCCTCTGGGACCTGCTGGCTGTGCTGCCTCCCCCAGGTCCCGCACCTCGACTGTACCCTTGACCCGGCTTCAGTCCCACTGTCCAGCCCCAGCCCCACGGCCTGCTTCCCAACCCCACCCTGCCAGCTTTTCTGGAGCATGAGGCTGTGCCCCCTCCCTCCCCCAGTGCCTGGGGCCCAGGACACGCTGGGGAGAGGTCTGTCCGCTCAGGGAATGGAGCCCGCCAGGATACAACGGTCTGTCTGCAGGTTCGTCTCACCCTCGTCAGGAGCGGGCAGGGCCTGCCACACTTGCGCAGAGCGTGGGTCTGTCCCAGCTGGCCGGGCTGCCTCATCCTGCCACCACCTGAGGCCGGACCCGCCTGGCTCTGCGGCTAGCAAGAAGTCACCCCCAAGCTTCCTCCGGCCGCTCTGCATCTGGCTTTCATGTGTCCCTAAGCCCCCTCGAGGGGAGGATGAACTTGTAATCACAGAGCCCAGGAGCCGGGCTCTTCCTGCCGCCGAGTTCGAGGCAGCGTGGAGGCTGCCGGGCCCCCTGGCTCGAGGGACCAGAGCTGTCCAGTGAGCTGCGTAGGTGCTGCAGAGGGTGGTCCGTGTGGCAATAGCACCCGGCTGCCCTTGGGGGCTGACCTGTCCCACTGGGTCGGTGAGGATGTGGCTGCTGGGAGCCTGGGAAGGGGCGGCTGGGCTGTGCCCCCGAAACCCACCTCCAGGAAGCACTGGGACTCACTTGCAGGCTACAGCCATGGAGGAACGAACAGTGAGAGCCAGCGGCTCAGAGAAGTGGCCGCCACTCAGACACTGTTCAGTGGAGTTGGGGGGCAGGCAAGGAGGCTGACCTGGGGAGGCCCTCGGTTCCCACCAGCACGGTCGTGACCCCAGGGGGCTGAGGCTACATCGTAGCACACCCTGCTGTGGGGGCCCCTCTGTCTCTCACGGGAGAAATAAAGTTGGTTAATTAAAATGTTGCGGCTGGCAAGTGGTGTGGTGGTTAAAGGCACTGGACGCCGACGTGGCCAATCATGGTTCAAGTCCCAGACCTGATGGTTTCCTTTCTCACTCTACCCCCCACTCCCCCGTCTCTCTCTGGTCAAATTAGAACATAATAATTAAAAAAGTGGGGCCAGCAGGTGGCGTGGAGATTAGGTGCTGGATCCCACCTGACTAACCACGATTTGACTCCAGACCTGGCGGCTTGAGGAACATGCCAGGTCCATGTGTGTGCGCGTGCCCCAAATTCCCAGGGAACGGATGGCCATCCCCTGGGGGTTTCTCACTTGCCCACTTTGTCTTCTCTAGCGAGTGCACATACCTCACAGCAAAAACAAAACCCCCAACCAAATAAATTGTGCAGGCTTCACCTTCCTGACTCTGAGACACAGCATCCCGTGGCCAGGTGGAAGGGGTGGGCGGCCCTTGCACTCTGGCCCAGACCTTCGGGCTGGGCTGTCACCGTGTCTAAACCAAACCCAGGGGCTGCACTGCCAGGGCAGATCCTGCAGGCCGAGTGGTGCTCGTGCGAGGGAGGTGCAGAGCAAGGGGACCCGGTGTGTGCGGCAGGCAGCAAGGGCAGGGTGGGTGCTGGGAGCACTCGCCAAGTGGGAGGAGGGCTCCGAGCGCAATCGGGCACTGTCTGGAAAGCGGCCGTGTCAGAATTGTGCAGCCTCGAGGCAGCTGCGTGAGAGCAGGGGTGTGCCAGGTGCCCACCAGCCAGTGCAGCTCTCCGGGGCAGCTCTGCACTCCGCCTACCTGAGCGCCATGGGGCTGCACGCCTCTTGGCAAGGTGGGTGGAGCACCTGTGCTATGGACCCCCCAGGACTCCTCCCACCAGGCCCCGTTCCAGTGGGTGTGGTCTGCAGTGGAAGAGTCATGGGGAGGCCGAGGGCCCTCAGTGAGCCCCACGTGTGGCCATGGGCCTGCACGGCCGTGCTGAGCTCACACAGGTCCAGGTTCCACCCTCCCTCACCCACAGCACAGGCTGGCCCGCCGCACCACACGGCTGAGACCCACATGGCGGATGACACGGGTAAGAACAAGCCGCGTGCCGGAGAACGAAGACGCTGCCAGAGCTGCTGGCTAAAAAGGGCTCCTCCCGTTTATTCGTAACGCGTTCACAGACATGATCTATTTACAAATGTACAGAGTGCTGGTCAGAAATTGGGACTGAAAATGTCATCAAAAGTTATTTACAGAAGCCGACTGTCCTGGGGTCCCGGCAAGTCCTGACGTGCCCGGCGACAGTCTGCCCAAAGCCAGCCCCACGTGCCGGCTCCGCCAGACACAGGCGTGGCCGCCACGTGGCCGTCGGTGCAAGC